AGCCGTCGGCCCCCAGCTCCGACCTCTCCGGGTCCCGTGAGCGGGATCGCCTCATCCTCGGCGTCGGGCGCTCGGGAGCGCTGCGCAGCGCGCCGTGGCGCAACATCGAGTCCCGACGCATCGCACGCTTTCGAAAACGCGCCCTCGACGCCTTCTGGGACGAGAGCGACGACTCACGCGCGCGGCACGACGTCCGGCGTCGGCGGTCACGGTGCCAGCCCGCCGCCGAACGGACGCGGCTCCGACGTACCGATCTGCGACGCTGCCGTTCTCGAGACCCCGTCCTCCCTCCCCGTTCGAGAGCAAACCTCCTCTCCATGTCGCTTAAAGGAGCTGGCCTCGAGGCCCGCCGCCGCATCTCTATCGACCCTGGAGATTTGCAACCACGACCTCAATTACGCATCTCGAGGTCGTCCACAAGGAAGAGGCGTGGCGCGGCCCGGCCCAGTAGGACCAAATCCTCGCTACGAAAACTAACTCACAGCTCCGCGTCCCCGCACGCGCCGACGGCGCCCGCGCAGAGTCGCCTCTCGAGCGTCGCGCTCGGCGCGTTGCCGATGCGGAGGAAGCGGAAGTGGTCCTCCACGGCGCCGACCACGGCGTCCTCGTGGTCGTCGAGCATGGCCTCGCAGGCGGCCTCGACGGCCGCGGGCCGGCCGTGGCGGTAGGCCGCGTCCGCGCAGGCTCCCTCGAGCTCGCCGACGAGCCAGCCCCGGTCCCGCGGCGCCTCGTGCAGCCCGCCGCGCCGCGCGACGAAGTCGAAGTCGACGGCGACGGCTGCGCACACGTCGCAGGCGCCGCCGCGCGCCGCGTCCTCGGCCTCGACGGCGGCGGGCACGCACGCGCCGAGGTCGTCGACGCAGAGCCGCCGCTTCCGTTGCATCACCTCCCGCCGCTCGTCCGCCTCCCCCTGGCCGTCGTACTCCGTGTGCACGGAGCTCAGGACGCGGTGGAGCGCCTCCTGGCGGAGGTAGCGGCCCGCGCCCTGGACGGTCTCCGAGTACTCCTCGAAGCGGCGCTCGATCTCGCCCGAGATCTCCTCGGGCCCGACGCTCGACTCGCGCGCCGTCGCCGCGTTGCGCTGGTAGATGTCGGAGATGGACTTGTGGTAGTCCTCGACGAAGGCGAGGCAGGCGAGGCAGTAGTCGCCGGGCGTCAGCTTCACCTTCTCCGTCGCCGGCGGCTTCCTGCTGCGCTTCTTCTTCTTCGCCGCCGCGATGGTGACGGCGAGGAGCAGCGCGCGCGCCCAGCGGCGCATGGCTTATGCGGCAATGCGACAACTGCTGCTGCGGCGATTCCCTGCGATCGCTCTAGCACTCGCTGTGCTCGCTGGGGGGATAACCCATTGCGAGAGCCTCTCCAGAGCTCAGGCCGGCATTGAAGGGATATCGAATGTTCAAGCTGCCCAACCGGCATCCGATATGGCGACCTTCGAGGACGAGGCAGCCCTGGGCTACGACGACGCCGAGGCGGAGTACGAGACGCAGATGTCGAACTACGTCATGGCCATGGCCGCCGAGGACTACGACGAGGCCCTCGAGTGCCTGGACGAGGCGCTGGACGCGAGCCCCCTCGACGCCGAGGCGGCGCTCTGCTGCGCCCTGGCCCACGCCATGCGCGGCGACGAGTGTGCCGACGACGGCGCGACGGCGACGCTCTGGCTCAAGCGCTGCGAGCGCTGGCGCGTCGACGGCCGCGACGCGCTGGGCAGCGCCTGGCACGAACGGGCGACGCGCGACTTCCCGCCGGGTCCGCTCGCGGCGCGGCCGGACTGGCGCGCGGCCATGGAGCTCTTCCGGAAGCCCGCCGAGGGCATGGACGACGCCAAGGGCCGCGCGGCCAGGGCGCGCTTCCTCGCGCGGCGCGCGCGGCGCGCGGCGCGGGCCGCGGCCGCGCCGCCGGCGAAACCCGTTCGGCCGCCGCGCGACGCCGAGGCCGACGCGGCCCGCGTCCTCGACCACGTGGTCGACTACGGGGTAATGCCCGAGGACGTCCGCGACGACGCGCGGGCCCTCGCGACCGTCGTCGACGGCGCGCTCGACGACGAGACCTTCGAAGCCATGAAAGAAGTGCGAGCCAGGGCGGGAAAAGGGCGCGACATGCCCAACTTCAAAGGCTCCTATCTCGGTCGTTCGGCGGACTTTTGGACGAGCGGTCATCTCTCGGAGCGCTCTCGACGCATGGATGCTTTCTCTGGAACGTGCGCGCGCGGAACACCCTCGTTGACGCGAAGATTGAATCACCCGTTTCCCGCCCAGGCGCTCGCGGCGCACCCGCGGCTCGCGGCGGGCGACTCGGCGGCCATGGGCGCATCCTTCGCCGGGTCGGCGGGCTTCGTCGTGCGCTTCGACGGCCAGGAAGGGCTCGAGGCCTGCGTCGAGAAGCTGCTCGCGCGCGCGGAGACGCGGCCGCTCGTGCCGTTCTTCTTGCGGTCCGCGGATCCGGACGCGACGGCCTTCGCGGAAATCAAATCTTCAACCCGACTTAAATTTGAGCGTAATCGAACGTTTCGACACAAGCTCTTTGGTCCCGCTTCGAGAACTCGACGAGAGCGATCGATTCGTCCAAAAATCAGCCGAATCGACTTCGATTTGGCCGAGATAGAGAGGTTTGAAGTTTTTGCTGGACAGGGCTTTCCACTGGTTGATTTCCACACAGGCGACGGCCTTCGTGCTCAACGTCCTCGTCGTCGCGCCCCGGGACGAGGGCGTGCCCGAGGCCGTGCGCCTCGTCCTCGCGAAGAAGCGGCGAAACGACCTCGGCGGCGACGCGGACGACGACGGCGACGAGTCGGACGGCGAGGCCTACGCCGCGCTCTTCAACAGCAACACACAGCCCGCGGCGCCGTCGCCCGTGCCGCGGCTGAACCTCGGCGGCGACGACGCGGCGGACGGCGCCTACGCCGTCGACTGGCACCGCGACGCGACGCTGGGCCTCGCGGCCGGCGCGACGGCGTCGCCGCCGCTCGCGGCGCGCGTCGCCGTGCTCTACGTGAACGCGCCGGAGGCGACGGGCGGCGAGCTCTGCCTCCGCGAGCCCGCCCGGCCCCTCTGGCGCCGCGACGCCGCGCGGCCGCGGCCCGTGGACCGCAAGATCCGGCCGCGCGCGAACCGCCTCGTCGTGTTTCGCGGCGACGCGGAGCACGCGGTCGCCGCCTTCGCGCCCGCGGCGTCCGGCGGCGCCTTCGGCGGCGCCCGCGTCAGCGTCGTCCTCGAGCAGTACGCCGTGCCCCCGGGCCTCCGGCCCTTCACGATCGACTTCGAGATCGTCGACGGCGCGGACTACGCGCGGCAGTATTGAGGTTGTAAAGATGCCTTCAATGGTGCAGTGCGTTTTTTTCGATAGATTGGGAGAGCCAGCCCTGTGTATTCTGCTGCCCCGCCGACCGCATCCATGGCCCGCAGCGCTCTGCTCCTCCCAGCGTCGAGCGACAGGAGTGTTTTTTCGCGTGAATTTCGCCTGAAGATGTGAAGAAATCCGACCCCGTCGCACTTGGTAGGCTCCTCCTCGTCGGCGCGGCCACCGCCGCCGCCTCGGACCTCGTGACCGTGAGCATCGCCTGCAAGAGCACCTGAGGCGACTGCCAGGAGCACGCGCTCGCATTGCACGACAAGGCCCTCAACGCGACGGGCATCCTCGACCTCGTGGCCCTCGACGTGAACTTCATCGAGGACTGGTCCTCGGGCGCCTGCCCCGCGGACGCGTCCCACGGCGGCCTCAACGGCTGCGTCGCGGACCGCTTCTTCCTCTGCGCCGAGAAGACGCTACCCGCCGCGGACGCGTGGCCGTTCATCCACTGCGGCTACCAATACCAGAAGTGCCTCATGCTCTCACGTTGATCGCGTGGGACGAGAAGAAGTATTGGGGCATGTGGAGCACGCAGAAATGCAACAAAAAAAATAAGGTCCCGT